AGGAGACCCAGAGACAAAGGTTCTTGTGCCAGTGGTTTAGGAAGGAGGCCCCTGGGGAAAGTGGGTGACAGAGCGAGGAGGCAGACAAGAAAGAAGAGGAGACCAAGGCAAAAAGCCCTCGGAGGGCGATTACACCGTAAATGGCCCCCGAAGCCGTCCCCAGGGCAAGGAACGAGGGTCCTTCTTACTCACGCACCATTGGCTACAGGATAAGGGCCACACCAGCGCCGTGTGGGAATCCGGATTCCCAGGACCTTGCAAGTCTACATCTTTGGGCAAAGTAGGGCTTCTGTAGACCAGTGGGGACCCCAAGTGCTGGCTACTAGAAGCAAAACTAACCTCGGGGTGTGTTTGTGGGGGGGAAGTGTGCAAAAAATAAGACAAAAGAGAAAAGTCCAATCCTTTCACAGCAGAGCGACTTTGTTCTGAAGACCAGACCAGCCAGAGTTCACACTCGTGGTGTCAGCAAATGGCAGCACCAGCAACATGGCCCACAGTAGAGGCTCAGCCCTCCGGGCAGACTGGAGTGCTACTCCTGCATTTGCTGGCTGTATGAACTTGGTCATCGCCTTGACCTCATTTTCCACATCTGTAAAATGGGAGGAGCCAGTACTGTGGCATAGCGGGTAAAGCCACCATCTGCAGTGCCGGCATCTCACAAGGGCACTGGTTCAAGTCCCAGTTGCTCCATTCCCGATCCAGCTCCCTGCTAATGTGCCTGGGAAAGCAGTGGAAGATGGCCCAAGTACAGAGCCCCTGCCACCCACGTGGGAGACCCAGATGGAGTTCCAGGCTCCCGGCTTTGGCCTGGCCCAGCCCTGGCCATCACAGCCATTTGGGGAATGAACCAGTGGATGGAAGATCTCTCTCCCTCTCTCTCTCTCTCTATGTAACTTTGCCTTTCAAATACATAAATCTTTTAGAAAATATTAAGTGGGAAATAAACACTTCATAGATTTTAGACTGAGCACTAACATGGTGAAGTCGTGCCCTCCCATGCTGTGTGCTGCCTGGGATCGGAGTCACCCCTCTGTGCAGTGTATCCACACAGTGTACACCACCCTCCTGTTACTCTTTTAACAGCCACCTTGATTGTCAGAACAACCATTGTGGCTTCAGAGTAAAGCTTACCCAGCAGCCTGACACTGTATCAAAATGCTCACTTACTCACTTCATCTCATACCATCACACAGTGCAACAAAGCATTTTGGGGGAAACCATATTCACATCACTGCTCTGCCATACACTGTTCCAATGTTTCTATTCTATGACTAGTTATTGTTACTAATAGCTTACTGTACCTAATTTATGAATTACATGTCCCCATAGCTGTATATGTAGATATACATGGAAAAAGGCAGACAGGGCTGGTAGTGGTGTTGTGGCTCTGGTGTGTGAAGCCACCGCCTGCCATGCCAGGGTCTCATACAAGCGTCAGTTTGAGAAATCTGCTCCACTTATGATCCAGCTCCCTGCTAACATACCTCAGAAGGCAGCAGAAGACGGCCCAAGTGCTTGGATCCCTGTCACTCACGTGGGAGACCTGGGTAGAATTCCAGGCTCTGTTTTGGCCATTTGGGAGTGAACTAGCAGATGGACCCCCCTCTATATATAACTCTGTCTTTCAAATAAAGAAATCTTTAGAAAGAGAAAAAAGCATAGTAGAGCTCTGTGGGGGGCTTGCTTTGTACTATCCATGGTTTTGGACATCCTGGGCGGGTCTTAGGATGTAGCCCCTGCAGAGAAGGGGAATTCCTGCACCAGCTCTTATGTGTCTATTTAGTGGTGGGCATTTGAATAGTTTCCACTTGTTTGGTGTTACCAGTAATGCTGCCATGAATGTTCACCTCCCAGCTTTTGTTTGGGTTTATGTTTTTATTCCTCTTGGATGTATACCAAGGAGTAGAATTACTGGTCATGTAGAATCTCTCTTTTCAAGCTTTTGCAGAGTTGCCAAGTTGTTTTCCAAAGCAGTTGCACTATTCTGCATTCATATCAGCAGTAAGTAAGGGTTCCAGTTTCTCCAAATCCTTGCCAACACTTGTAATTATGTGGTTTTTTTAATTCTAGCCCATCCTCGTAGGTAGGAGGTGGTAGCCACTGTAGCTTTATTTGCATGTCCCTGATGGTTAACAACACTGACCTTCTTTTCATGCGGTTATTGGCCACTTGTGTATCTTCTTTGGAGAAACATTCAAATTCTTTGTGGATTGTTAAGTGAGTTGTTTGCCTTTTTATTATTGAATTGGAAGAGTTCTTTGTACATTCTGGATAGTCCTTAACAAATATTCTATCCTGTGGGTTGTCTTCCCACTTTCTTGACGATGTCATTTGCAACACAAAAACTTTGAATTCTTATGTAGTCTAATTTATCTTTTTTTTAATGTTTGTGCTTTTGGAGTTATGTCTAAGAAATCAATCTCTAATCTAAAGTCACAGAAAATGACTTCTATGTTTTCTTCTAGAATTGTACAGTTTTAGCTCTTAGAATTCGTTATAGAATTCATTTTGAGTTAGATTTTGTGTATGGTGTGAGGTAGGGTCCAACTTGTTCTTTTGCATGTACACATTTGTTGCCCTGGTTCCATCTGCTGATATTTGGATGACGTCACAAGGGGTGGCCTTGGTGAGCACTCTGCTGTCACATTAACAACCAGGTCCTTAAGGAAACTAAAGTGCTCATTTATTTAGCAGCTTGCACAATTTATTTACACAAGTAAACCTTGCTTTGAAGATCTAAGGGAACTTCAAAAAGTTCATGGGAGTGAAAAGATGTTTATTTTAGTGAAAAAAAATTGTGAAATCTTTGCATAGTGTTTTAATAATATGTATCTCTATGAGCTTTTTGAAGACCCTTCATGTAGAAAAACATAAAATTTGAAACAAAGCTCTTAAATTTGTGTCATTTATTATTTATTTCTTCTTGTCCAAATGCAGTTGGAATCCCTCTCTCGTGCTATATCCCTGGAGCTGGCTTAAATAGGTGAGAAATCTACACAAATCAGATGAAAATGGAAAGCACGAATTGAACATCAGGTCCCTGGCCGGTGCCGCGGCTCACTAGGCTAATCCTCCGCCTTGCGGCGCCGGCACCCCAGGTTCTAGTCCCGGTCGGGGCACCAGATTCTGTCCCGGTTGCCCCTCTTCCAGGCCAGCTCTCTGCTGTGGCCAGGGAGTACAGTGGAGGATGGCCCAAGTGCTTGGGCCCTGCACCCCATGGGAGACCAGGATAAGTACCTGGCTCCTGGCTACAGATCAGTGCGGTGCGCCGGCCGCAGCATGCCGGCTGCGGCGGCCATTGGAGGGTGAACCAGCGGCAAAGGAAGACCTTTCTCTCTGTCTCTCTCTCTCTCTGTCAAAAAAAAAAAAAAAAAAAAAGAGAGAGAGAGAAAATCAGGTCCCCTTGTCTATACAACGAATGCCCCGGACGTGTGTGAAGGACTTTGTGTCGCTCAGCCTGGAGGACCGCCAGGGCATGGACTGGCTTCCCACGGCGGCAGTTTTGGCACACACAGTGCTTTCTGACCCTTGTCACTGCACTGCTCTGGGTCAGGTCCCGGCCAGCTTGTGTCCTGGAACTGGGTTCCCCAGTCCTTGTCTTCTCGGTGTTTCCAATTTGTTGGGACCGTGTGAGAACCCGCTTAGTACCTGCCTGCATTAGAATTGCATTTCTTGACCGGAAACTGAGTCCCCAAATAAAAGTGGCTTCACAAAGACCAGAGTTTATTTCTGTTGTGTGTCCCTGGCTGGGGCGATGGCTTTGAGCCATGGATGGATGATGGGAAGTTATTTTGCTTCTTAGTACAACGCATAGAATGTCAGTGTACAGCCATCACATCACCACTTCAGCCAAAACTCAGTCCCAAGGCCATACTTACCTGTAAGCGATTCTGAAATGTGATGGTGGTGTTACAGGTGGACACGCCCGGCTGTAAGTTGGGGCCTCTGTTGCAAAGGTAGCAGGAGAGAATTGGCCTAAGGAGGTGTTGAGAATTCTCTGGGGTGTCTGCAGGAATTCTACCCCAAGAGTTGGCCTCCCACTTCCAATTCACTTCTTTCCTTTTTTTCCCTTCCTTCCTCCCTTCCTTCTTTCTTTCTGCATCTTAAGCATTTTTTAAATTTTCTTAATTGACAGCTAAAATTATACGTACTTATCATGCATAACTTGTAAAGTACATATATGTTATGAAATAGTTCTATCTAGCCCATTAACAAAAGACGCACACACTTCACACACACCCCCTGCACATTTCAGGACTATGACGCATCTACTATCACTAGCTGTAGTCACCATACTGCACAACAGATCTCTTGAACTGATTTTTCCTAACTGTGATTATAAATACTTTTAAAATGTACTTATCTATTTTTTGGTCTAATTAAAAGGCAGAATGTGTGTGTGTGTGTGTGTGTGTGTGTGAGAGAGAGAGAGAGAGAGAGAGAGAGAGAGACACTGTTGCTCATCTGCTGGTTTACTCTCTAAATGCCAGGGCTGGGCCAGGATGAAGCCAGGAGCCAGAAACTCCATCTGGGCTTCCCGCGTGGGTGGCAGGGATCCAAGCACTTGAAGGATCACCTGTTGCCTCCTAGGATGCATTAGCAGGAGGCTGGATCCAAGGTTGGCCCTTGGATACAGGGGGTGGGCATCCCACACAGTGGCTTAGGCGACGGTACCGCAGCACCTGCCGAGAGTGTAAACCCTCTGACCAACATCTGCTCTCCTCTGACCCCCGGCCGCTGGGACCGCCGTTTGACTCTGACTTCTGTGAGTTCCAGTTGTAGGTTCCCCACGTCAGTGAGATCCTGTGCTGTTTGTCTTCACCTTCAGTTCTGCCGATGCTCTGTCAGCCCTGGGGGGGAGCTGGCCAGGACAGCGTGTGTGTGTGTGTGTGTGCGTGTGTGTGTGTGTGTGTATGTGTGTGTGTGTGTACAGACGCTGTCCTGCTCACTTTAAACTTCCTTCCTTTCTGCGTTTTTGCTTAATGTCTTCAGAGCTACTACAAAGAGGGCCAACAGCGTTCAGGACAGCGAAGGAAGGCAAGCCCCCAAGGCTCAGAGTTGGGGAATTTTGCTGCTTGAAATACGGCTGTACTCGCCCGCTTTCAATCGAAGGTTGGGACATTGTTTTCAGAACAATTGCACTGTCCAGACTAAGGGACCCACAAAAGTGTCAATTCACTATACACTGGCTGCTTTTTTTTTCTTTTCTTCTTCTTCTTTTTTTTTTTTTTTTTTTAAAAACTAATTGTAACAAGTGGTTGCTATGAAAATGTAGGCTTCCTAAGGCTGCCCTCCCAGTGACCCATGCCCTGACCTGGACAGACCACCTTCTGTCCAAGGGAGGAAAAGTTTTGTTCCTAGGTCAAATGAAGCCCTCCTTACCCCTGGTGACCAGCGGGATTCATCCGACGCCAAGGAAACAGCTGGCAGGGCGCTGAGCTGGCTCGCGGTGACCAGACCTGCGTCAGGCCACGTCCCCCAAGGTCTTACCTGGGCCCTTTGTCTGCCCCAAGAGGCCCCAGGGTCCTGTGCTTAAAGGCAGCCACATTGGAAGCTAAGAAGCTGCGCGTTTTTAGGATCAATATGGTATCCATTGGAGCCGGTGGGAGAGCACAATGCAGAGTGGACTGGTGGAGGGTTAGACATCACCCTCCCCCGCACCTTCCAGCCCGCCCATCCCCACCCCTGCCCCAGGATTGATTGCCCCACGCTCAACCCACTGACACCCTTGAGGCTGAGGGGTTTGGGTTGGGCCTCCAGGCACCAGCCATCAGTTTGGGGCCTTTTAAAAGTAAACATGGGAGACCAGGATAAGCACCTGGCTCCTGCCATCGGATCAGCGTGGTGCACTGGCCGCAGCGCGCTGGCCGCAGAGGCCATTGGAGGGTGAACCAACAGCAAAGGAAGACCTTTCTCTCTGTCTCTCTCTCTCACTGTCCACTCTGCCTGTCAAAAAAAAAAAAAAAAAGTAAACTTCTCCCAACTTGCAGGAGGAACCCGAAACCCACTTTTGGGAAACACGTTCACCAATTTCTGTTGGAGCAGGTGGCAGGTTTCCTCCCCTGAGGCCAGCGAGAAAGTTCCGGAACTTACTTCCCTCTCTGCCTGGCGACCGCAGGCTCCAGCGTTGCTTGGTTCTCTTATCTTTTTATTTTATTCCGTGTTCTGGGGCAGAGCGCCAGCACACAGACCCGCATTTGTGCCAATAACTCAGAGTCATATTGATTTTAATTCAAAGTGGGGTTTCCTTCCAATTATGTTTTAAACCACATTTGGGGAGAAAGACAAGCTTAGGTTACTTCTAGCCTTCAGTACAACATTTCACATATTATTTTCACCACCCTGGGGGCAGCAGAAAGGAGCCGAGTGGCCCTTCCATACAAGGTGGCTAAGAAGAGGAGGCAAAGGGCCTGTGCTGTGGCGGAGCTGGCAAAGCCGCCGCCTGTAGCGCCGGCATCCCATATGGACGCTGGTTTCTGAGTCCCGGCTGCTTCACTTGCGATCCAGCTCCCTGCTATGGCCTGGGAAAGCAGCGGAAGATGGCCCAAGTGCTTGAGCCCCTGCACTCACATGGACACCCGGAAGAAGCTTCAGGCTCCTGGCTTTAGATCAGCCCAGCTCTGGCCATTGCGACCATCTGGGGAATGAACCAGCAGACGGAAGACCTCTCTCTCTGCCTCTGCCTCTATGACTCTGCCTTTCAAATAAATATTGAGAGAGAGAGAGAGAGAGAGAGAGAGAGAGAGAGAGAGACAATGATAAGCCACCTGCAAGAATCTTGGAAAGAATTAGGGTGGGGAGGGACAGAGAGACCCTGGAATATGGGGGACGCAAGGCACCATGTCTACAGGGTGGGAAGGGTTTGCTACGTGCAGATCAGGTGCCCAGGGAACCTTCATTGAGGACTAACATTGCACCTGTTTCTCTGGCGGAGATTTCAAGGCAGGGCAGGCTTTCTTTCCAAATGCCTTCTGAAGCCTCTTCCCCGAAGGCGCAACAGCAGCTCTCTTAGTGTGGACTTAGTGAACGAACGTATTATGTGGGTTTCCATCCCGACCTTAAGGAGCTCTGCAGAGCCCAGATAAAGCGCTCCATTTTCACTCTGGCGACTCTACGGGGCTAACGCCCTTAATTCCCTTCTCATCTCCAGGGAAGGACTCCAACGTTTAAAAGCAAACAGGTTTCCTTTTCTAAATTCCCAGAGAGCAGGCTTCTGGGGCTCCCCTCGTGCCGCGGGGACGGAAGGTGGGTGACCCGTCCTCATTTGTCACCTTGGTGGACCTGGAGAGCCAGAAGTAAGTCTGAGATAATAGGCAAGGGGGAGCGCCCTCCCTTCCCGGGGAAAAGTTCTTGCCCTTCCAAAGGCCAGTTTGTTTTTTGATTTTCCACGGTCCAGCCCTGCGTTTAGCACAGAAAGCCGCTTTAGGAGCTGCAACCCGGTAATAACCATAAATATGCACCCGCAGAAAGCAGGGGACAAATTACAAAGCGAGTTCTCTGCCTACGCTGCTGTCCTTCCCGGATCGTAGACTGCAACAGCAGCCTGTTTCCTGAGATTTAAAATACACTTTCTGAGAGAGAGAGACAGAGAGAGAGAGAGAGAGAGAGGGAGAGAGAGAGAGGGCGATAGCTGCCAAGCTGATTATGTAGATATAAACTGTTTCAAATGGAAACGAGACTCCCATTGTGAAAAAAACAAAACACATTGAAGAAAATTGTAGCAGATTCTCTAGGCTGATGGAGAGATTTTATGCCTGGCTGTGCCCTTGGTGCGGTGACAAGAGAGGAGAGGGAACACCAAGAACGGTGTGGCAAAAAGGAGCATGCCACGGTGCAGACACCAGAACCGCAGTCGGGGCAGCGAGTGACCTGCAGTGACCTCTTGCCCCTGGGGCTTATGAAACAGCCAGTGTGGGAAATGAGAGTGGTTTAGCACATTTTTTTACAAAGAGTACAGTGGCAGGGTATAGATTGACATTTTTCGTTTTCCTCCCAAGGGTTATCCAATGATATCAACATGTATACCAGGTAGCATGCAGACCAAGCCATGTTTTAATTAACACTGCATGTCTTATTTCCCCATGTGTCCAAAGCCTGAAATAAGCTAAGAGAAATAGCACTTGGAGCCTAGTGACACCACACAGCTCTCGATCTGATGTGTCCTACGGTTGTCATGATGTGTCAGAAGATTGTAGAAATGGCCCAAAATGCAGTCAATCTTGCTTCTTGTGTTATAGAAAAGCAACTTTTAACCTGTTAACATTCCCATAGGAACACATCACTAAAATACTGATCCTATCACAGATAAAAATGCAAACAAATTTGTTTCCCTTGAAAGAGGAGAAAACCGGAGATACTGCTCACTGGCAGGGCAGGATGTGGCTTCCTAATACGTGGATTGATTTTTTCTTTTTAACTTAAATAAAGGAATCTGTCAAATTTTTGGACCCAGATTGTGCAACAAACTATAGAATAGGCGACAACGTAGGGATTTAGCTTTTGTCTGTTTGTTAATCTCCGAAAGGCTTGTTTTTGATGAGAATTAATTGGCCAGTCCAACACGCTCCCTATCTGCCCACCCAAAATATCTGTTGAATAAACTATGGGGAGAGTTCCCCAGGCGCCGCCACACACCGCTCTGTGCATTAACTTGTCTTGTCACATGCGCTGTGCGGGAAGGAGTGCACACTGAGGATTTTTGCAGGGAGCCAGGCTGAAGGCGGCGCTGGGCGATGTGTTAGAAACCTGCACACCTGATTGGAGGTGGGAGGTGGGTAGGGGGAGATGGTCCCAGCCTTTTGTATTTACACTTTTGAAATATCTCCATTGTGATGCAAATCTCGATTTTCAATCAAAATTGGCTGGGAAAAAAATAGAAATCTTTTTTCTCTGCAGAGTGTTACAGGAAGGAAGCCTCCATCTGAGTTTTCTCGGCTCTGACGGTCTATTCCCAAATGCTGCGACATATGCGCAGCTTTTGCAAATGCGGATGGGAATTGGCTTGAACTGGCGTGGAGTGAAGTTAGACACCGAGTGCGCGCACCCTAAGTGAGCCGAGCCACTTTCTTCTTCCAATCTGGGCGCCGACACAAAACAGCACCGCTCAAAACTCGTTTGCCCTTCGCGGACTGGATCGTTTCTGTGCCGTCCCGGAGGAGTAAAGGAAAATGAGCTACACAGAGGGAGGCATCCTCTGCGGCTTGGACGCGCCCCTTGTGCTCCGCTCTGTTTTAACAGCTGCACTTCGAAATAGGGAATGTTCTGGAACTGCATAGAAAGCAACGTAGGAGCCGTCGAGGCCAGGAAGCCCAGCCTTGTGGAAGCTGGGGTCCGCCTCAGGTTGAGGGGTTTGTGTGGTTGAGCACCTGTGTGTGTGTGTGCGTGCGTGTGTGTGTGTGTGTGTGTGCTGAGCCCTGTCTTTGTACCCTGGGAGATGGAGTTCTGAAGGGGGCATTTCTCCTGCCAAAATACACACACAGCCTGGGATTAAAAGGGCTGAAACCTACCAGCAAGTTCTTACCGCCCTCCCACCATCATTACACCAAATCCAGCGTCATTCTAGATTCATTTTTCCCGTATTCATCTGTCCAACTAATTCCTGCCACATTCAGCGGGCTTATATCTTAATCTTTTCTGTTACATAGAGAAGACACAATGAAAAGCTGCATTTTCTGGGTACATGCACACATTGGGAGCGGGTGAACCATATGTGAAGTGACATACAATGCTGAATGCCCGCTGAATGGCGGCCGGTGCTGCAAACACTATGAGTGCAGAGACAAAAAGCCGGCGAACAAGAGCCAGCGCCGGCCTGGCCTCTGCTCCAGCGCCAGGGGACTCGCTGCGAAAACATGGGTATAATTTCACTGTTTTCAGTCACACAAGCTGTGGGAAGGGAGTCACCATCTGATGTTTGATTGTGGGGGATATGTTTTTGGCAGTGGCCTTGTAGTCTGCATTCATACACACACACTGAAAAAAAAAAAGACAGAAAGAAAAGAGAAAAGGGGAAAAAAAGGGGAGAGAAGCAGGGGAGAAGGAAAATGAAAAAGAACAGAGCTACAATCGCTGTTTTCAATGTGCTCTCTGGGGCACAGGCACAGCTGATGGCTCTGACCAGCGGCCACCGGAAAATGAAGCTGAGGCCTGGCTGCCGGCCCCTCTGCTCTGCGCCCCAGCCCCCCCGCCCCCCGGATCCAGGGCTACTGCATCCTCCCCTGTCGTCTGCTTAACTCGCAGCTGAGCCACGGGGCTGACGTTTGCCTGATTTAATAAAGCCTTTTATCCAAGGTAGTGGCCTGGGAAGGCAGGGTCCTGACAGCCCCCAGGGGAGAAGGCCCACCTCTCACACACCGACGCATTTCCTGGAGCCCGAGCCAAGCCGGAGAGTAACCAGGAGAACCCCAGCTGGCTCCCTCTGGGTCAGAGCCTTTCCCCGGGGGTGGGTGGCAGGTGCCTGGGCTCCCCAGAGGGTGGCTTGCTCTTTGTGGTTGGAAGTTGGCGTCAGGCAAGGGGGAAAGGGGTGGTTAGGTGTACACCCTGGCTCTCCACCCCCAGATGAAGGTTCTAGAAAGCTCTGTGTGGCCCTCTGGGGCCCGCGCCATATTCTCCCAGCCCAGGAATGCCAGATTATCAAGAACACGAGCAGGAGGCCCAGCCAAATGTGGGTTTCAGAAAAACACCAAATCCCAGGAACCCTGAGACTCTTGGGGTTGGTCTGGCTACCCCACTCCCACCCACCCTAACCGCGGGGGGACCAGTAGCCTCCCAGGCTTGCATCTCAGGGTGTTAAGAGGATAATGAGAAAATAGATGAGGAGCTGCTTTCCAGAAAGCTCGTTAATTAGCCGTGCTGGTTAACATGTGGTTCCCAGGCCCCAGCTGTGCTGAGAGACCCCGTTCTCAACTTCCAGTTCAAACCTCGAGACGTCACTGGTGACACCCGATAGAGTGAAGTGTCAGGAGCCCCGCTCCTGAGTCCCTTCTCCGATGGGTTGGACATAATTCTACCTGGGCCATAAATTCACCTGGACCCAACTCCAGCCAGTCCAGCACCCACCGACTTAACTAGAGGCAAACAGAGTGCCCAGTGGAAGATTTGGGCAATAAGCAATCAAACCTCAGCTATGAGGGTGCGTCAAAGGATTCACAGAAAACGGAACCAAAAGTAAGTTCATTGTAGTGCAAAAAAAAAAAAAAAAAATCCTGCATCCAAGCAGTTTTCAACAAGCCCGTGAGAATGTGTATTACAGCAATACTATGCCTGGATTTCAAAAATGTTTGCACCAAATTGAGTTTACCTTTTAATTTTATTTTTTCCACACTGTTTTTGAAGTAGCCTCATTTGTACACACCCTGCCCCAAGCCCTACCAAGTCTCTCCCCAATACCTGTGCGAGCCCAGCCAGGCGCTGTGGACAGACTGCCCATTTGCAGGGACCCTGGATTGCTACTTTTGATGATCCGTGTTTGCTAAGAGCCTGCGAAAGCCCTGTTGTCCTCTGAGATGTGTCCCGAGGTGGGCGCATTGCTTTGAGTTCTCCATCTGTGGGCCTATGGAGCGTATCTGATCAAGGCCATGTGAAAGGAGGGAGTCTCCCCTGTGAGTGTGTGAGTGACAGGGGGGTGACTAGCCTGGAGTTCCTGGTCTTGGTGTTTGTTCTTTAGATTTTTTTTTTTAAATCTTTGAAAGGGAGAATAAAAGAGAGAGAGAGAGGGAGAGAATCTTTTATCTCCTGGTTCAATCTCCCAGTGCCCACCACAGCTGGGGCTGGGCAAAGTGGAAGCCAGGAACCCAGAGCTCAATCCCAGTCTCCCACAAATGGGTGTTGGGGTCCCGTCACCTGCTGCCTCCAAGGGTGTGCATGGGCAGGATGTTGGAATCGGAAGCAGAGGGAAGACTCGAACCCAGGCACTCTGATGCGGGATGCAGACACCTCACTCAAGGCGCTGAACCACCTGCCCCCTTACTGTTCTTTGCTCTCCATGCAGGAGTGTGGGATCAGGCAGGGGCTCTGCACCAAGTCAACCTTAACTCTTCAGAGAAGGTTTCCAGGGCGCCCTGCTCCTCTGAACATGTCCTGTCCTGCGAGACAGCAGTGGCCGTGTCTGTGGGCGGGGGCTGGAAGCGTGTTTCCCCGTGTGGTGGAATGGCACTCATTTTCAAAGACGGTGCGGGCCATAATGGCTGTCGGTAATGATCGCATTAGCATCACGGAGCAATGTATCTCCAATAAATTAAGGCTGCTTTGCAATTAGTACCGATGATCACAGCTGCGGAGACAAATGGCATATGTGCTAATTAAATAATTTGTCGCTCGACTGTTAAACAAACAATTCAGCCTTTACATTGCAGCCTGCCACTTGCAGAAGACCGCCATGGGCCATTAACCCCGGCAAGGAACGCGCTGCCGTGCCCACAATGGCCGGGGAGCGATGCCTGCCGGGCGGGATGAAAGGTGCCGGGCAGAACGCACGTGGACCACGAGTCCCCGCCGGCTGCAAGGGTCTTCTTCGAGAAATGAGTTCCGGGAGGGCAAAACAAACTCTGCCCGTCGGATCAGTGTGGGAAGCAGCCCACCCCCGGGGTTGCAACTCCTGGATGTGCCCTCGTGGAAGCAAGCCATCCGACGGACTGCGCCCCACAGAGATCACTGCACATTGCGTCTACACCGAAGCCTGAGTGTGCAGCTGCACCCCCTTCCCCACCGGCTCCAGCTTTCCAAAAGCTGTCCTTTCTTTCTGTACAGCGTTAGTATCTTCTGCTCCTGATCCTGGGTCCTAAAGCTAAATCACAAAATACGGATTGAGTGGGGTCCACTGCTGACCCACACAACGAACCAAGTGGGGGCTCAGCCCTGCGCAGGTACCAGGCTTGGTGAAGCAGAGTGCCAGTTGGATATGAATTCCTGCTAACTACCTTGGTCCAGGGTCCTTGTGCAGTGAACAACCTGCCCGACCATACAGGCTGTCTTGTATCAGTTGCCTATGAAATGGGGAGAGACTTGGGTCATGAAAAGTCACAGCAACTTGCAAGCCGATTGCACCACGATCCTTTCTTCCTTGCTCTTTTATCGGAGCTTTCAAGGGAACTTGAGCTCATCTTCTTACCCCTGCCCTTGTTCATGGGCAAATGGCACAATAGTCAGGCAGGACTTCGAAGAAACGTGAAACCATCCAGGACTTGGTATGCGGTCACTTCCCTCAACAGCTGCTGCGTCCTGTCCCCCGGGAGCACTCAGCCCTGTGGGGGTGTGGAGTAGCAGGCACCGCTGATGAGACATTCTGGGGCAAATCCCCAAGCAGGGTAAATTCCATGCCACGTGATCCTACGGCAGGACATTTCCACCAGGCAGGAAAGAGGCTTCACGAAGGCTTGCGGATTGAATCCCCGGATGATTCACGTTGGGCTTGAAGAACTACACGGTGTGGAACTGTGGGAGTGGGCCAGAGCCCAGTGCTCTTTGTCTATTTGGGAACCTGATTACCGGGACACACAAGGGTCACCAGCCAGAAGACGTGCTACAGAATCGCCCTCCTGTCTCTTCTAAACTGAAATCTGGGTGTGTCCCGGAAGGAGCGGGGCACGGAGAATCTCCATTAACATCGCTTGGGACATAGCGGGGCGCCTGCTACGGGCTGGGTGAGAGCTTGCTCCTGCTGGGGCAGACCTTCAACCTCACAGCTATGACGCCCACGCCCACGCCCACGCCAGACGAAGACCCCCCTTCCTCCTCCTGCCAACGCAGACCCTGGCGGGGTGGGCAGCGGGCCGCACGGTGATGTCTCCAGTGGTTGGTTTGCGGCCACCCATGTGGGAAACCTAGACTGAGTTCCTGGCTCCCAGCTTTGAATTGGCCCAGCCCCCTCTGGCTGTTCTGAGTATTTGGGGGAGTGAATCAGCAGATGAGAGCGCTCTCTCATACTCCTCTCAAATAAATACAAATTTGAGAAGGAATTTGCAGCTGTTATGGTGGTGGGGGTGGCGGCTCTTATAGTCAAGATTGTGTCGCTGAGTGTCTTCTCCAGCATGTGTTAATATTGACTGGTGTGTGCAGGATGAGCAACATTTCTTTCTTTTTTTTTTTTTAAGATTTATTTGAAAGTCAGAATTACACAGAGAGAGGTAGAGAGAGAGAGAGAGAGAGAGAGAGAGAAGTCTTCTATCCTCTGGTTCACTCCCCAGTTGGCCGAAATGGAGCCAGGAGCATCTTCCAGGTCTCCCACGCAGGTGCAGGGGCCCAAGCACTTGGGCCATCTTCCACTGCTTTCCCAGGCCATAGCAGAGAGCTGGATCAGAAGTAGAGCAGCTGGGACTCGAACCGGCGCCCAAATGGGATGCCAGCACTGCAGACCGCAGCTACAACATTTCTGACACTTAGTTTCCCGAAGCCTGATCAGGAGTCACAGGGAAGTGCAGGGAAGTTAGGGGGCTTATGCCACACAGGCTGGGGGAGAGCTGTTTGCCCAACAAGGTGCACTGTTCTCCCAGCTGTTTGGCAGGGGGCAGCCTGTTGGCTGGGCAGCCCCGGTGAGCCTGCAGTGCCAG